AGCTGGGAGGCAGTATGATTATTCCCATTAGACATCAAATCTCCTCAACCCCCACTGGTAGAAGGCACCAGCCTAACAAGAGCAGCCCTCAGCCAAACCCTCTCTGGAGAACTCAGAACGCGCAAAGGAGCCTTCCTCGGTAAGACAAAGGGCAGGCCCCTCATAGTCAATGAGACAGTGGTTTGGAAATCCTGCTGATGCAAACAGCCCATCAGTCAGTCAGGGGAGAACATCAAGAAATGACTGCAAGAGTACCTGACACTGAAAGGAGCCTCAGACACTCCCATCCATTCTCATAAACAGTTCCAGACAAGTCTCATTAACTCTACACAAGAGACTGGCATGAAATTTACATTTTCTCCCCAGTCAAGGCCTTTCTCACCAACAATGACGTGGAATAAAAAAAAAATTACCTAAGCACAGTTAGTATTATTTTTAGAAACAACTCTTCATTTCCATTTTAATTTATTTAAAATTCAAAACTTGCTAATAATAGAAAGTATTTCAGTATCATTAAAACTGGAAGTTGCTGCAAAATAAAATATGGTATTTCAGAGTCAAACTCAAGGATCTTGTAAAATATTTGGTGTTTGTTACTCTCTCAGCATTCAAATTGTAAAAAGGAAACATGTTCCAGGCTGGTTAATTAACCAGTAACGTAAGTCACATAACGAACGCTGCTGCATCCTAAATAAATCAGAGTAGATTAACAGAATCCTTTGAGTTTATTCTGTCTCAGAACACATTGCAAACCCACCAAGGTGACTCTAACTGGAAGTTACAAAAGAAGAAATGTGCTTCCGTGTGTCAGCAACAGAGGTTTGCAGGGGAGCCACTGTTCCCAGGTGAGGGGCCCGGCTGTTCTGGGCTGGCTGGAGTTGCTGCCAGATGCCTGGGGCTGGTCACCAGAGCATGACTGGACCAGACCAGAAGCAGAAGATGTTCGAGGGGTGCTTGGAAACAAGATGAGGACGCAAATATGAGCAATTTGGAAAGTGACAGGTCTTACTCTTTTGCCATAATCTGCAAGCGAGAAGTAAATTTTAGCAAAAGTCTGCAGTCCTGTCCCGTGGCAGCCTCTCTCCCCCTACTGCTTATGGCCCTTACCCAACTCCTCCTAGTGTCAGCGGTGTTCTTTAACAACCCCTCCAGCAAGTCTGAAAATGTAACAGATTTGAAAACCATCATTTCTGTCCCAGAATGACTACTCGAGCACAGTGACAGAGAAGAAGCCTCCTCGGATAAACAAAAAACCTGTTTTCACAAAACAAGGGATTGGATTAGACTAGTACCATCTAACAACACCTTAAGCTAAAAGATGCAAACAAAACACTATGAGAGGTATTTACACCAAGGCCTAAATGCCACAAACAGAGAAATCCTCTCCTTGCTGACTCCTGGGTCCCATCTTACAAAATGACACCTGGCAGTTACTGTCTCTAAAAGAGCTTTCCTTCCAAAATGAACATTATCCAAATGCCCACCCCTTCCAGAGCAAAAGTAAAGCATTATGTCTAAAAAATAAAAAAAAATCTACATACCTTAATTTTAAAATAATGCTGTTGGAAAAATGGTGCCGACAGACTTGCTCCACACAGGATTTGCCACCAATCTTCCGTTTGTGAGAAATGCGGTATATGCAAAGCACAGGAAAGCAAGGTACTCCTCAGTGGGAACCTAGCAAGGGCTAAAATACAGAAACTCAAACCCAGAGGTAGTAAAATCTAAAGATTAACCAAAAGCAGCACAAACCCAGAACATTCAAAAGCCAAAGTTAAGTTTTCCACCTCCTCAGTAGAGGTTAATCCCAGCAGTCTCAAAGTCTAGATTTGTTACATTGGCTTAGATTTGCTGGTAATGAAGTGACGAGGATGAGGAGAGATGTTGAAATGCCAATCCAGTTTAAACACCACGCTGAGAACTGTACTAAGGCCTTCTGTGCAGCTATTTTTTTTTTTTTAAAGAAAATCAAAGTGCTTTGGGGACTGGAATAGATTTAATTTAACTAAACGTTTTGCCTGGCATGTGACAATTTTTCATTTAACATTCCTCTTTATAAGTAGCCCAGTAAAATCCTCTTTTACTTAATGTGCACTCCCTTCTTCCTTTTATTCCCTCTGGTTTTCATGGTGTTAGGTATTGCTAAAAACAGAATGCATAGATTCTAGAAGACCTCTGGAGGGCTGAAGCATGATTGATGAAAGGAGGAACAACAGAGGCCAAAAGGACTAGCAGTCTCAAGCAGAGAGCAGGACTAGTCAGGGAGTTCATCAGAAGCCCATCACTTTCGCTCCACAAATCCACTAAGAAGCACAGAGACCCTCTGCCAACAAGTAAGGAGAAGGGTTGCTGGTTGTATGTTCTTTCCTGAGGACAGCACATAATTTAAAACTATGGAAAGGTTATTTGAAATGTTTGGTAGCGATAGCTCAGTAAATAAAGCTTTGCAAGCAGATTAAATGAAATAAAACATTAGCCTGAATTCTCAGAAACTGGAATCTCCACCCACCACATTCGCATGTGTTTCACCCTTCCCAGAAGGGGGAATCACAGTGTGCTGTCCCCATCTCATGTAATTTTCACCCTGCTCCCATCTTCTCCTCCAACAGCCTTCAGATGACCAAACTGTGGACAAACTAATGTGAGAACCTGTGTACCTGCCATCCATTAAAAAAAAATTATATATATATATCTATTTCAATCAAAACTCAGGACACAGAGCTGCTTCCTGCCCACTGCACAATTTGTTTTGTGAACTAGACCTACATGTCTTCCAGGGAGTTATCTTAATTTTTCTAAAGAAGCAGATCAATTTGTATTTCAAAGATCCATAACAAAGAACATTCTCTTTTAGAATGGCATTCAAAGCAGGGAAGAAGCAAGACTTAACCAGAAGCCTGCCCTGCTTACTACATTCCTCAGGAACATTTTCTGAATAGCTCCAATTCTACAACTAGAACTGTAGCATCAGGTGACCCCTGCCTTGGATGTAAGCTCCTAAATGACTAAAACTCTGTTACTCTTGTTTATCTTTCTGCAGTGCTTAGCACAGTCAAGAAACCAGACTTCTAATAACTGAAAAGCCTCTACATTATTCCCTCCTTCTTCTCAATTTCAATAGTCCTAATTCCTATTTTCCAATTCCTTATATTACTTTACTGCTTAACAGGGATGGCAGACCCCTACTGTCTTGCCATGAAATATTAAATAAATATATAGGAGGCAATTCTGGGTCTCACATTATTAAACATAATAAAAGGCACATGGCTTATGATATTTCCAATCTAATAAGCAATCATGTCACAGCCTACAAAGCAGTTATGTTTATAACACTTAACACTGATAAAATATCAACTACACCTGAAGAAGAGAAGGAAGTATTTTGAATGAGATCATTTCAAATCCAAGACTCAAGGTGGAGAGGTACTGAACCTTGGGCCACACACATAACAGTGATTAGAAAACAGTTTACTTCCAGGGTCTCAAGCACCAGTGTACAAACATTCCAAGATGTTACTGCTTTCTGCCTAGGTAATAGTAAAAGGCTTTTCAAGATGAGTAAACATCCTGCAAAGAAAAGCTATTACCACTGTACAGTGTGCTTTAAAAATATTTTAGTTCAAATCTGAACCCTAGCAATAAATAATACAAACTACTTGGACATTCCAACCTATGGGATGGTTCTAACTTAAACCACAGGTAAAGAAAACTGAAAATTTAACTTTTTGTTGTTTCCTACTTTTCCAAACAGCAATTTATTATATAAAGAATCCTTTAGCATTCCAATAAAACTTACCTCAGTATAACAAAAATCCAGGATTTTGGATCCTTCTCTGACATCCTTATTTGCTCAATTAGA